GGAGATGTGGGCTGGATTGTGTTGTGTAGTAGGTGGAGTATACCAAAGAAAAGAAGATGGCTACTGCCCGATATCAAGTCACGATCAGAGAGCCCGTGCAAATGAGGCGTGGCCTGATGATGAATCTGCCAAGTCGTCATGAGGAGAACGAAGAGACGGGGTATTATTGGGGGATTACTATAGAGGAACAAACTTTCATTTGGATCGAGTCTGGATGGGTTAGAGACAAAAAAAAAATAAAAAAAATCGCGCAGTAGAAAGGGTTACCGTATATCTTTCTGCGGAGAAATTGCAAACTATCCTAATAAATTTAGTCTTAGGAACTGATCGATCTCTTTCCAGACTATTATGGATAGCAGAATCCGCGCTCGAGTCTAGGGAAAGAGATGCAAGTTTGAATGGGTTTGAAGGAATGATAGGAACTTTGAGGGTAAGAAAGGCTAGCAAATTTCTTCCGCCAGCAGCATTTCTAAGAGGAACCCTTCCTATGTTCATTGTAGATGCAACCTTCGGAGGGAGGACTAGAGTGGAAAGGGCTGCGGAAACCGCAATGGCAATACCTGAGAGAGAAAATCACGCACCTATCCCTCTGCTGGTATACTACATATACCTAGAGATAGGGCATTTGATTGAAGGAAGGGATCCTCAAGACATACTAGCAAGGGTCGACTCATATGCACGTCAGCACGATTGGAAAAATAGGCATGTCTACTGGGAGGAACTGAAACAGGGGATCCTCGATCAAATAGAAAAGAGTGCTCAAGGGAGACTGAGATGAGAGAATTGTTGAGAAAATGGAAAAATTGAGCAGTTACTAAAAAAAGAAAGGTCATTTCTTTGGCTGTTGTAACAGGTATACCAGGATGGCTCTTTTAATGTGGTTCGCTGACCGGAGCTTCCTGATCGATCTGCCTGAGCCAAAGGAAGGAGGAGTTAAAATGACACTGCCGAAGAGGACAATAGGATTGGATGGAGAAATGAAGTCATGGTGCGGGATACCAATAAGACAAGAAGCCTTCCTTTGGATAGAAACTGGATGGACCACGAGGGAAAGGCAGGCAATAGTGAAAGTGACCCTTTATCTACCAACCCTTCTCTGGAGGGCACATGTGATCGACCTTGCGATAGGAGAAAGCCGCCCCGTTTCTAGATACGTGTTGATAGTTTGAATGACCCTTGACGCATTTACAAGGAGAATGTATTGGGGAGAAGAAGGGGAAGTTATAAAATTAATCAACGCGAAGTGGGCCGCTGAGTTCGTATATCCAACAAGGTATATTAAAACCACGCTTCCGAGCTTCATAATTGATGAAGCATTTTGGGGGATTGAGAATGTAGAATGGGCAGTACTCGCAGTCCGATCTGTTCCAGAGATGGGCTTCGAATTCGAGGCTTCGGAAGTTGTTTACCGTCTATACTTAGAGATGAGACCGAAACTAGAGAATAGGGATTTTTATAACATACTATGCGTGGTAAACACGTATCTACGCATCTACCGTTTAGAAGATCTCTCGACCTACTGGCGCAATCTTTGCCGGGAGGCATGTATCGAAGAATTTATAGATGAGATCTCTTCTTTATTTGGTATGGTTAAAAGCTTTTGGCATGAGGACTGGGTGCCCCTAGAAGAGATACTCGGATGAGAGAAAAAAGGCATGAAAAGTCATATAGCGTAAAAAGTTACGTCAAAATAGTGACAAAGAGGGTGGATCAATGGTCGTTTTGTGTGTCTTAACAGGGTCTACGGTCTAGCAGGAACCAAGAAAGAAAAAGGGAAAGAGATGGGCGAAGCCAGTGCCAACGGAGATCCGCCAATCACCGCGGCGGAAATCGCCAAGTTGCTAGAGAAGAGGACGATAAAAAGATATAACCTACCAAGGATAGGCATCTTCTCATTCAAAGGTGATAGGGTGACGCATTGGTTGGAACTACTTGAGCAGATATTTAACCAATTGACCCCAGCCGAGAAGTTTGCCCAATTGTTCGAATATGTATGGTGGGAATGCACCTCTGACGTGGAAGAGGTAGTGAAAAAGTCCAACAATGATTGGGCTGAGTTTAAGAGGGGCATGCAGAAGACATTTAAGCTAGGAGATGGTCTGCTCACAATTGACCATCTCTACAACATGAACAGAGATGATTTCACCACGATCAGGGCTTTCGCTAATACATGCGAAAAAACAGCCGAGAGGGTTCCGGGGCTGTCTGAAGAGATGCAGTGCGTCATTTTCCTAGGGAAATTCTCTGGGTATGAGGCAATGGAACTAACTCGAGGAGGAGCCGCTGGGAGAAAGACAACCTGGAATACCATCAAAAGAAACATCGCGGCAGGAGACATAGACCAAGTGTTCCATCACCAAATCAAGGTCGAACGAAAGAAGAGAAAGGCAGTAGGGACGCTTCAAGGAACGGATAGTATACTTGGAGGAATGCTGAGCAATATGGCAAATGAGATAAAAAAGCTTAGGGAAAGAGTGACCCCATCGAAGATGTTAACAGTGACACAACCATCAGAAAAGAGGAGGAAGGAAGAGGGAGATGGAGAGGAAGAAGCTGAAGAAGGGGAACCCGAAGGAACGGGCAAACTGACCAAGAATCAGAGGAAAGCTAAAAATATCGCTATCGGAGGACAAGGCTCAGGAAAAGGACAAGTTACTCAACAGGCGATAGTCTAGTATGGATATGAGCCATCAACAAGCACAGCGCAATATGGTCAATGGCCCGTGGGTCCGCCTATGGGAGCATGGCCTGGGTACTTCCCGGTAGGGTCATGGCCTACGCAGGGTCCATATCCCATGTTACCCCAGAATCAGAATTTGGGAGGAGACCAAAACACGGGACAACTTCAACTAATAGGGCAAAACCAACCAGGATCGAGTCGCCAGGGTGGCCAAAACCAGAACAGGTCCCAAGGGCAAGGACAAGGACAAGGACGTGGAAAAGGTAGGAATGCTGGTAGGAATCAGGGACCAGGGGAACGAGGAGCAGGAAATAGAGAAAGTGGGTATCAAGGTGGAAACTGGGGACAGTTCCAAGGGGGTGCGAATCCGGTAGGGCAAGAATACCAGCAGGGGTATGGTCGTGGTTACGACCAAGGCTATGGAAGGGGGTTTGGTAGAGGAAATGGGTCATGGAACGGACAGGGTTTTGGCAGAGGATGGATAGACTACAACGAATGCATTTGTACCCACTGTGGAATCAAAGGGCACACAGTAAAGCGATGCCACGTCAGGAAACCAGACGAGCGCGATGGACTCATAACATCAAACATAGATGGCGAGGTGTTTGACAGAACAGGAAGGCCGATCGATCCTGAGATTCCAGGAGGCACTAGAGAAGAGGCCCTTCGCATAGCCGCGCTGCGTCCCAACGCGCGGGGAATGTTCAGAATGTGGCAAGAAAAGGGAGGACCAGAAGAAAAACTGAACCGGATGGGGATCGAAGGAAGCATGGAAGATGTACCCCTCGTGGAAGAAGAAGCAGAAAGGATGACGTTAGGATTACCGTCAGGGACACGTTTGATAGGATGGAGGATCTAGTGAATAAATGGGACGTGGAGGATCATTTGAGACTTCAAGGGATATGTGAAAAAGCGGGGAGAGAAGGGGCTGGGTGCTCGAAAGTATTTACCATGGGACGTGGAGGATCGGGAGATGGGCCAAATGAGCCTAACCCAAGAATGTTGAGGGCCAACATGGTCGCGAAGAACAGTGGGGGTCAAAGAAGCGTAAGAGGAACAATTTCGTTCGCTACAAGAAGACCCGAAGGAGGGAATCCTCAGAAGGAACAAGCCCAGGCTTCCCAGCCAGCAGAAGAAGAACCACCTATCACGGTAGAGGGTGATTAGGATGAGGATGAGAAGATTAGGGAGGAAGAAGAAAGGCAGGCGGAGATAAAGGCTAAGAGAAGGAAAGGCGAAGCTAAGGAAGGAAGATCAAAAGGGGATACGGGACCAAGCAAGAAGAGAAAGTACCAAACCTCGATCGAAGAAGGGGTGAATCTGGAAGGCCTGGTGAATAAACTACTGGAGGGGCACAGTGAACTATTAAACCTGAAAGAAATCCTCGCTTCAGCTCCTAAGTTAAGAGAGATGGTGAAGGCTAGGTTATCACGCCGGAGAGTAACCTCGGTCCGGATGGGGGATTTGATTCCCAAAGAGGCAAAGACTGGAGCGTGGCAGGGAGTAAAATGGACTGGAAATTCGTAGGCACAAGGTCCATTGATGTTATGATAAAGGGAAAGATGTGTCCTGGAATGGTTGATACCGGGGCAAAAATGAATATTGTAAATGGAGAAACCGCGGTAAAATTAGGGTTGGAGGTGGATGAGAATGATTGCGGGTTTCTCAACGGAGCCAGCGGCAAGACCGGATACACCGGTGTCGCATCAAATATGGTCATAGAAATAGGAAGAGTCAAGGTACGTACGTGCTTCTACGTCATGCCCAGCTTGGACCTTCCAATATTGCTGGGAAGGTCATTCCTGTGCAGATCTGAATCACTCATTATGAACAAGCATAACGGCAGTATATTCGTCATCTTGTGCGATCCTGCCTGTGGGAACTTCGAGGTTATCACCTGTAGGAACACAGACCCACACAACTCGAAGAACAGACTCAATGCAGGATCTTACACGTTCGAGGAATCTGAGAATAGGAGGAGAGAATTGGAATGGGAAGAAGAAGAAGAGGAATCAGATGATGAAGGAGTCAAAGGACTTGTATTAAGTCTAACAAATATCAGTAACGCAGTGGAACTAGTATCGGCTTATAGGAAAGCTGATCCAGACGCAGTCAGGACACTCGCAGAAAGGATCCAAGACGATCCAGAAGGGGAAAAAATCGATCTCGTTTACCGGCCACCTCCTTCTACTCAGATGATAGTGCCGCATGCGCCGAATGCTCAAGCTGCCGGCCAGCGTTTTTTAGGGGTGGGCTCAAGCAGGGCTCCAAAAGGAGGTACAAGACGGTAGATAAGAAGAGTCACCCTGTGCCAGTTCTAGTAAGTCAAAAAGAAGGGGTGTATTATGATCAGGAAAGATAACTGATACAACAAATGAGGGAAGGCATCCAAAACGGGCCTTGTTGTATCAACGATGAGACTGAGAAAAAACTGATAATAGGGGAACCTGGCTTTCTGACAAGGCAAGAGGAGGACTTGGTAAAAGAACTGATACGTGAAAAATATGGGGCATATGCCTTCGACGATGATCAACGTGAGAGGCTGGATGTGGACAAGATAGAAATGATCCGCATTCATACTGTACCTCATGAGCCATGGAATGTCCGAGGGGCTAAGTATCCCAACCCTGAGGATCGCAGAAGGGTGGTAGAATACCTAGATGGGAAGATCCGCACGGATGTGGCAGGGTACTCCAGTGGACCATATGCATCTCCCTGGTTCTGTTTTGTAAAACCAAATGGAGTTCTCAGATGGGTGCAAGACCTCCAACGAATGAACGCGGTAACTGTAAGGGATGCAGGGGGTCTGCCCGATGCGGACCAGTTATCAGAAGCTTGTGCAGGTAGGTCGATTGTGTCCCTCATCGAACTCTACTCTGGATATGATAAATTTCCAGTCTGTCCGGCAGACCGTCCCATCACGGCGATGCACACGCCAAGGGCATTAGTCCATATGAATGTTGCACCGCAAGGATGGACCAATGTTGTGGCCATGGTGCAACGAAGCATGATCAGGGTAATGCAGCCAATCAGCCCTCAGATCACCGAGCCATACATAGACGATCTTGGTGTCAAGGGCCCAATAGAGAAGAATGAGTCCGAAGTAGCTCCGGGGGTGAGAAAGTTTGTGTGGGAACATGTTCAATGGTTAAGAGGAGTCTTATCTCTACTAGAAGAGTACAACCTCACCGCCAGTGGTGTGAAGTCAAGATACTGCGTGAAAGAGGTAACCATTCTGGGATACATTTGCAACGAGCATGGTCGGCGCCCTGATAAGAAGAAGACCAATAAAATCTTGGAATGGCCTACTTCTTTCAGAAATGTGGATGAAGTCCAAAGTTTTCTTAGTACCTGTGGGTTTTAGAGAAGATTCATAGAGAGATTTGCTAGTAAAATAGAGCATCTAAGGAAGCTAGTCCGAAAGGATCAAGAATGGGAATGGGGAAACCATCAAGAGGAAGTGGTGGAAGAATTGAAGGAGGTCAGGGAAGGAGGTCTGGTACTAGGGGTACCAGACTTTGATGCGACTATGGAAAGGCCCTTCATAATTGAAACTGACGCTGTACCAACCGCCTTGGGAGGCGTCTTGATTCAGGCAGACAGTGAAGGAAAGGAGAGGCCGCTGAGATTCGAAAGCAGGACACTAAACTCGGCAGAAAGGAACTACTCGCAGTTTAAAAAGGAAGCTTTGACAGTCCTGCACTGCCTAAGGATCTTTAGGCACTACCTCTTTGGGAGGAGGTTTATGCTCAGGATTGATCCTACGGCGCTTGTATACTCACTCAAAAACTTCTTGCCCTCAGATCCGACCATAGCCAGATGACTCACCTATATCTGGATGTTCGACTTCCAGTTGGAGCGGATCCTTGGAAACAAGAGCAGGGCAGACGGCCTGAGTAGAATTGAGTGGGGAAATCAAGGGGAATCTAATGAAAAAACGCCTCCGGTAGACGGATTTTTGGACGAAGGGGAGGACATGCGAACTCACGTGAACTGTTGGTTCATGTTTGTCGAGAGTAAGGAAATGAGGAGAGGAAATCCGATGTGGCATCCGCCTCCCGAATTTATGAGAGAACCTTCCCTAATACTCACACAATTAGAAGAGGAGGACTCTTGGGGCGAGAGAAACACGGAATGGATGACGAAGTTGGCTCTGGCAGAAAACTATAGGATAATGGATGAACCGCGAACAATCGAAGCAGGAGTCCAACAGGCAGACGAGCAGGTAGCCATGATGGGAAGGATGTATTACCTGACCAATTCACTATTACAAGTTCAAGCGAATGATGAAGGAGGAATAGTGAAGACCGATGAAATAATTATTGGGGATGATTACGAGTTTGATGAAGAGAAGGAAGGAGAGTTTGAACAAGAAGAAATTTCAGAAGAATTCAGGGAAGAGGAGTATGATGGGTTCTATTTAGAAATGGGGTTGCTCCTCTCAGGAGATAAAAGAGAGAGAGAAGTAAGTGAAAAGACTCTCAGGATGAGAGATCACTATGTGGTAAGGGGTGGCCACTTGTTTATCAGGGATAAGAGGGGGCCGTCGCGACGTGTCGTATGTGAGAGGAATCGTCAGATTCACGTAGTAGCTGCATTGCACGATGGGATAGTCAGGCGACATCGGAGTTTCGCGGCTTCTTACAAAAAGGCGATGGAGCTCTACTACCGGGAAGGGATGTTTGAGATGACGCGAAAATACTGTGAGTCGTGTGTACTCTGTCAAATTCGATCGCATATCAGGTACAAGGAACCCCTGCATCCTAGATATATCAAGGAAGAAGGGGCAATTGTTCACCTGGATCTACTGGCTATGCCACTAGGTCTTGGAGGATATAACTATATATTCGACGGAAGGGACAACCTCACGGGATTCGTTGATGGCAGAGCGATCAGGAATAAGACCGGGGCAACGCTAACGGGTTGTATTAAAGAATATTATCTCAGATATCCTTTCGTATTGGAATTCACGATGGATAGGGGGTCTGAGTTCACATGCGGGGAAGTGAAGGAACTGCTGAAGGAATTGGAGGTCAATGGTAACTACACGACTAGGGCTCATCCACAGACGAATGCTCCAGTCGAGAGAGGCCATAGCACAATTACTAACTCGTTGGCCAAATGGACCAGTGGGAAGCCGAATCTCTGGCCAAAGTTCTTAAGAACAGTGTTCTTTGTAGAGAACATCACTGTAAACAGAACGACTGGGTATGCACCTGCGACACTCTGGTATGGGCGTCACGCCACATTCCTTATTGAAAGCTTCCTGAAAACATGGCGCAGGCAGGGCTTGGAAAATAACTTGACTTTGTAAGGGCAAGGGAGATCAACGCCACTGAAGAAAGGGTGCAGGAAGCGGCCATGAACGTCGCGGACAGTAGGGGAAAGGATAAAGAAAGATGAGACAAGCTACCTAGAGTAAGACTCGAACCTCTGCAAGTTGGCGAGACAGTACTACTCTACGATTCCTCTCTGGAAATGCAGTGGTCGCGGAAATTGGCCAAACGGTGGCTGGGACCATTCAGAGTCAGAAAGCAGGGACTTCATGGGGCATATGAGCTAGAAGAGATGGATGGGACCCCAAGGAAAGACTGGGTCTCAGGATCTAGACTGAAGAAGTTCCGAATCAGAGAAGAGGTAAGCTCAGCTACGATACGAAAGCTTGGATAGATTGGGAAAGTATCTAGGCATGCATATGTGTATCAGTTCCTATGCAGGTATGTACCAAACTGCCCAAGAATATGGTCATACATATATGGATGCATGCATGCAGATATATATGTATATATATGTGTGTGTGTGTGTGTGTATGTGTACATAAATGGATGCAGAAGGGTATAAGTGGGGAATATGTGTGGGTATATACGCTCATGTATGTATATATGCATATATATATATATATGAAATATATATATATATATGTGTGTGTATATGTGCGTGTATGTAAGTACTTGATAAAGGAGGGCATTGTCAACTTGTGTTTAACAAGGGATGTTGCCTTGGTGATAATCCGACCCTCGTACCTGTCATTTGCTCCTTCTTTGTGTGCAGGTATGACCCTTGGAAAAGAAGAGGCCATGGCGCAGAGAGGAGCAGAGGCAGGGCCCTCTGGACCTACCTTGAGAAAGGGGGGGCAGAGGAGGGAACAGAGAATCTCAAGGAACCTGGAGGAGTTGCCCATTTTCCTGCGAGACCTTGAAGAGTACGCTTTCAGGAGAGAATGGGGTGACAGGGAAAAAATTGCGAATGTGAGAGGAGCAGGAATGTACAAGAGGAGGATTGAAGGAGTGGTGGCAGATTGCATGAGATGGAGGGTATGCAAGGTAAGACTATGGAGAGACATGGGGGAATTCCCAAGGGATGATGTGGAGGATGACTTGAGGTTCGATGGGACCAATCTGGAGGACTTTGTTAAGAGTTTGCAACTGGCAGCTGAGAGGGGTGTATGGAGCGAGAAGGAAAGGCGAAAGCAGTTGATCACAAGATCAGACAAAGACGAAAATGAAGAAGTAAGAGGAATTGTGGAAGGGAGTCGGACCTGTAAAAGGATAACGGCAGAATTGTGGATGGCCTACACCCAGGTCAGGCAAGATCAGATAAAGAAGGAAAAATTGCAAAAGAAGGGGCTATGGATTGGAAGAGAAGTGACTGAGCCACAGGGGAAGAAGGAAGAGAATGAAGAAGAGGATAATGGACCTATGAAGAAGTTGAAGAACAAGGCGAGGATCTCTCCCAAGAGCAGTAGCAAGGAATCTGAGCGGCCTGAGGGAGATGAACAGGAAGAGGAGGAGGCAGCAGAGGACAGGAGAAGAAGCATGAGGGCCAGTATGGTACTAAGGAAAAAGAAACTTGGAAAGAAAAGGGCAATTGAGAATGAAAGGAAAGAGGTACAAGAAAGGGTGAGTGAAGAGGGGGAAGAAATAGAAGAAGCTGAAGAGGGAAAGAAGGTCCAGGGAGGAGGCAAGGCTCCTAAAGACAAGAGAACTAAGGAAAAAAGGCCGATTGGGGACAAGGAAGAGACAAGTGAGATAGGAAAGAAGGAAGATGAGAAGGATGGTCAGGTGGAGAAGTTGATGAGGGATATGGAAGAAATGAGAAAGGAAGTGAGGGAATTGAAGAAAGAGAAGGAGGAATTGCAAAAAGAAATGAGCCAATTGAGGGTCACCCTGAATGTGCGGAGCAGAGAACTGGAAGAGGAAGTGGTCACAAGAGGAAAGATGGAAATAAGGTTGGATGGTCTGGTTTATGAGGTCAGTGTGCTAGGGCAGGACTTGGACAATGAAATCTCAGAAAGGAAGAAGTTGGGACGAGAGTGGGAGAAAAGATGGGGAGAGATATGGAAAGGAATAGAGAGACTCAAATTGAGCAAACAGGGGAAAGAGAAGAAAGTCACAGAAATGGTGGGAAAAAAAGGGGGTGAAGAACAGGGGGTACAAACTGAGGGGAAGAAAGAAGAGTCTCCTGCACCCGAAAGGGAAGTAAGTGAGAGTGTGGCTATGCCTTTGCTATGATAGGATAAAAGGCAAAGGGAGTCCCAGTTGGACTCACCGAAGGTGGATGAAGATCAGACTGAGACTTCAATCCAGCCAGACATAAAGAGAATCAAGCCTAGCATGGTTGAACAAAGATGTTTCTTCTGCGCTCAGGAAGGGCACCTCATGGATGAGTGTTCCATTCTAACAATTTATATCAAGGAAGGAAAAACCAAATATGATAGTCATAAGAGATTAGTGGCCGGCACAGGGCAAACCATTCCCAGGATACCTGAGGGAGGCAGGGTAGCAGGGGAATCCTTTCTTATCAGTGACTAGTCTGATATAAGAGTTGTGAGGTTTCAAGGACACCTGCCTTATCATTAACCAACGTAACATTCTTTTCAGTGATAAGAGTAGTAAGGATCCTTGGACACCCACCTTATTGAGGGCTAGCCACTGATAAGAGTAGCAGGGGAATCCTGTCTTATCAGTGACTAGTCTGATATAAGATTTGTGAGGTTTCAAGGACATCTGCCTTATCACTGATTAAACCTAACATTACAGTCAGTGATAAGAGTAGTAAGGGTCCTTGGACACTCACCTTATTGAGGGTTAGCCAGTGATAAGAGTAGCAGGGGAATCTTGTCTTATCAGTGACTAGTCCGATATAAGAAGTTGTGAGGTTTCAAGGACACCTGCCTTATCAATGAACATCCTAGG